AAGATATGGAAATAATAATCTATAACTTATCAAGGGTTTGTGAGGGAGGGTAGGGGGGGAGGGAGGGGGAAGAAATGGGTAGCTGATATCAGGGCCTCAAGTGGGAAGAGAATACTTTGAAAATGATTCTGGTGGCATATGTGAAAATGTGCTTGACACACGGGATAAATGTTTGGATTGTGAAAAGAGATGTAAGGGCCCCCAATAAAAGTATTTAAAAATATATTAATAATTTTTATGGGAGCAGACTGACAGGCTTTCCCCCCATAGAGTATTTGACTAGGTTCAAACTTCCTACCTTTCAGTTGTCCATCAAGTGCTTAACCACTCAACCAGGGCTTCTGGTATAATGCGGAGTAGTAGTTAAAACTGTGGGCTCTGCAGTCAGACTGCCTGGGTTCAATCTCTTGTCTACCTTTCACTACTTATTTATTCTCACTAAGCCAAAATGTCCTTATCTATAAATGGAACAAGCAGGTCTATCGTGAGGTTTACATATAGTGGTTGATACGCTGAGGTTAGGACATAGCACATGCTCAACAAATGTTAGTTATCAATACTCCATTTAGTACATTCTGGTATTCTTTCTAATTACTTTTTCTGTTGGGTACAATCCACTGCTTCACAAAAATGAATCTCTGTTCACCCCAAGTATTCTAGTTCTACCATGTCAGCTCCACAGGGGTACATTTTTCCTCTCTGCCTAACATGCCCAAGAAATGCCCAAAATGCCCCAAAATGCCCAAGAAACATTTTTAAGAGTGAATGATGGGAATTCAGTTCCACTGCATCTAATGAATTGATTCGGCTTGCCTGTGAGAAATTAAAATGCCCCTTCAAAATGAGGTGGAGGAAGAGAAGAGACAGTGCATAGAAGAAGAAGAAGAAAGAACAGCTCGCTTGTCAGTTCCTCAGGAGCAGGAGACATGACTGCATAGGTTTTATTACTGCCCCACAGCAATAAGCATAGCACGAGGGACAGCAGATAACAAATATTGGAACAACATCCTATCGTAGATCTTTACCACCTTCCCTTGAGAACAGGAAAGTGAGGTCAGCCGCCTGCTCGAATCAGGTAAAGACACCAAATTGTTAAGAAGAGGAAGGAAAAGTGGTCAGGGTGGCAGGGCCAACGGTCCTTGACATAGTTTCACTTATTAAATATATGGGTTTCCTGAAAAGGAGGCAGGAGATAAGGACAGAAGAAAGGATGGGGGAGGGGGGCAGGAGACAGGCCTTTCTAGCTAAAATACTTCTCATCTAAAAGGCAAACGTGGATTTCTTAGCTCGTTTCCTTATTTTGGTGGTGGCTAACCGTAAAGCAGCCCTCTGCTCAATGAAAGTGCACATAGCTCTGGTCAGTGTGCAGAGATGAGCACTAAGGGCATGAGGCATGAGGCTCACCGGCCCAAACTTGGGTTGAATCAAGGACCCGACTTCACAAGTTCATGGTCTTGAATAAGCAAATGTATACATTTAAAAAATTCTCTTAATTGATAATCTGTTGCTCTTGAAGAATAAAGCCAGAACTCCTAAAGCTGGTATGTAAGGCCCTATGCATTTGAGCTCTGAGGTCATATTAAAATTATGCCCCATAATTCCCTGCTGCCTCTGCTCCAGCTAAATTGCATTACTCTGGGATTCCTGTAATGTGCACTCTGGAATTTCCTGCTCCCTCCCCAGCTGCCCCCCTACTCCATTACAATTTTCCTTACGCTAGTCCCTCTACTTAGAAGACTCCCTATTCCATCTATCCATGTCTGAAGGCTGCTTGCTCCTCCAAAGGCTGGCCGAAATGCCATCTCTGTCAATCAATCTATGCGTCACTCAAAGACTTAACCAACCACACTGATTAAGTGCTTTTAACTCCCAGGCAGTGGACCTAGACATACAGGGTTGACAAAGACAAGGCCTAAGACATAGAGGCTCTCTGGGTTTTCATGGTACTCTTCCTATGCTGATATTTTTTAGCTCATTACTCAAATAGTGTGGAAGATTCTTGAGCCTGATAGAGACAGCTGTGGCTGATTCACGGTGCATCCTTTCTACAGTAGCCAGTTCAGTATAACAGTGTCGATGTAGTACAGTGGTTCTCAACCCGTGGGTCATGACCCCTTTGGGGGTCGAATGATCCTTACACAGGGGTCACCTGATTCATAACAGTAGCAAAATGACAGTGATGAAGTAGCAATGAAAATAATTTTATGGTTGGGGGGGTCACCACAACCTGAGGAACTGTATGAAAGGGTCACGGCAGTAGGAAGGTTGAGAACCACTGATCTAGTAGGTGCTTGAGAAATATCTCTCACCAGAAGAAACCCAAGAAGAGCATCATTGCTGTTTGGGATGACATCTGCGCCATGTACATCTCCTGTCTCCAGGGGCTGCCTACGGGAAGTCCTCAGTGCTCTGGCATGAAAGCAAAGCTTCCCACGGCTTCTCCTCGAGAAAAAGAGATGCCAAGAGCTTGGGTGCTTCAGTCAAGGCCAACACAAGGTGCCACACTAGAAAACCGGATGTTGTTACCCATGCTTCATGATAATGAAAGACAAATGAAAGCAGTGCTTTACAGTGCACAAGACCTCCCTGCGGTGACAAATAATGCTCTGTTCCCCACCAACAAGCCTTGAGATTTTGTTCTGCTGAGTCATCTAAAGAAAGAAAAAAGCCCCCAACCCCCAGTATCAACTTTTGTTGATAACGTCTTTCTCCAAATGAAGGAGGGTCATCTTCAGACACGCGCTCAAGGACGGACGTGTTTGTCTGGGCTCCTCCTGCTCTGCTGGTGACCCACAGAAGCATCAGCGTTCAACAGGTGCAGGAAGGCAAAGCACAGGAAAGCCAGCGGGGAGGGGCTGTAGATTTCTTTTCTTTTTTTTTTCCTTTTCTTTCTTGTGGTAAGTTGAAAAGATGCCTGGCCGGAACACTACTCAGCAAAGTGTAAAAAATAAGATGGTGATAACACACAACTTGGATGAGTCTGCTGGAATGACGTGGAGTGAAACAAAGCCAATTCCCAAAGGGTCCATATTGCCTGATTCCATTCATATAAAAATCTTGAAATGACAAAATTACAGAAACGGATAAGAGATTTTTATAGCTGCCAGGAGTTCAGAATTAGATGGGAGGCAGGAAGGGAGCTATAAAAGGGGAATTCTTACGTCAGTGGGAATGTCCTGTATCTTGACTTTTACCAATGCCTATTGACACAGAGTTGTGATATTGTTCTATAGTTTTACGAGGGGTTATTTTACCATTGGGGAAAACTGGGTCAAGGGTACCTGGATCTCTCAGTAAGGAGCCCTGGTGGTGCTATCAAGTAAGACTTGGACTGCTATCCTCAAGGTCAGTGGTTCAAACCTACTAGCCACTCCTTGGGACAAAGAGGAGGCTGTCTGCTCCATTAAAGCTTTATAGACTTGGAATCCTACCGGGCTGCTACGAGTTGGAATCAACTCTGTGATGGTGGATGTTTGGTTTGGGTCTCTCCTTATTATTTTTTACAATTGTATGCAAACCTACAATTACCTCAAAATAAAGAGCTTACTAATTTAAAAAGTTATTATCTCTTTGATCCAAATCCCTGTCTTAGTTTTTCACCAATCAATAGGAAGAAAAAGTAGCCCATCGCTTCATAAAACCTCAACATCTTTGCATGTCCAGCAATAGTACTTGCATACCAAGCTATCCGAATGCCTTTAATTAACTTCATAATTCATTTTTATTCATATGTGCTTGCCTTCTGCTTAATTCACTAAAAGTTACCATCAACTTTTTGGTAATTATTAAAAATGTGCTACTTATTGGCACTTGACCTTTAAATAGCAGCAAATGGGCAAATCAAGGCCACAGATTAGAAGAGGGAGTTGGCTGTTTGCTGATAGGCTGCGATTTTCATTGTAAGTGCTGTGGACTGCCAGCCGAGCAGACCATGGTCTTGGAAGGACAGCCAGAGTGCTCCTTAGAAGCCGGGATGGCAAGTCTTTGTCTCCTGCGCTTTGGACCTGTTGTCGCAAGAGACCAGTCCCTGGAGAAGGACCGAATGCTTGATCCAGGAGGAGCCAGGCAGTGAAAACCAGGAAGGCCCCAAGGCAAGGCATGGGATCAGCACAGTGGCTGCGCAACAGGCCCAAGCAGAGGTGCCACTGTGAAGAGATGGCGCAGGCAGGGCAGTGTTTTGCTCCATTGTACACAGGACTGCTTTGCGTCAGAAGCCACTGGAGGGCACCTCATGGGAGCCGGAACTGGTCCTTGGGTGTTGCTTTTCCACCAGATAGTCCGTGCTCAATAGACTCCACCTGAATCAAGCTTTAGCTTCTGGGCTCTTTAAGCACGGCCAGTTACCTTCTGCCGGAAACGTACTTGGCCACGTGCTCATCCCCTCAGAGCTCAGTGGCAGTGCACTCAGAAGGAAATCAGCTGGACTTCTATGGTCAGCTCATGGGGCAATAACTGCTTTCGAGAAGGGCAGTGAAGTAGATCTTCTTGGCCCTCTGTTTGAGCACCCCCGACCACTGGTTAGCCCCTTTCTACAAAGTACAGGAAAAAACCTAGTCACGGAGCGAGGTTCATTTCCCTCTGGTGCCTGGGTGGCCCACCCCGTCCCTCCCACAAATGCAGTACTTAAGGTGTGGTTTGGTTGGAGCTGAAATCTGAAATCTCCTCCTGGCTGTGTGCTGCACTTCCTTCTAACTCCCCACAGAAAGCAAGCCGCAAAGTCACCTTTACATGTTCCCGTGCTGCAGAACAACATCATTTTTCATAATTACCCAGTTTTAGTTTCTCTTATGTGAGTGTGCAGTCTTTGATGTATTGAGCCAATTAACCGAAACCTAGTTAAAAAGCCAAATTTTTTTTTTAAAAGAAATTTGGTGGAAACTAAAATCAGGAATTTGTGTTTTTGTTTTTGTTTTTTTCTTTAAGGAACCCAAGCCATTCTGGGGTGGGCGTGTCCCTTGAAGGGGGATTTCCCCAGTGTCCAGACAAGCACGGGCTCTGACCTGGAAGCTCTGGCTGGTTCTGCTTGTCTTATTCTCCATCAACTTTCCTCCTGACATCTTGGATGGTGGCCCCGTCTCCAGGACAACGTGACACAATTCCTGGAATGAAAAGCACCCCTTCAACCTTCGAAATAGGTGGGAAATTCAAAGGTTGCAGGCAAAACAGAGGACAGGCGGTGGGGTGAGGGGTGGGGGGGGACCACCACCCACATTCCTTTGGGGTTCAACTTGCCACCCCAGAGAAGTCACTTTACCTGGTTTTTCTTGTAAGCAGAAGGATCACACGCCGTGAAGGGGTGGATACACTTTCTCTCCCGGGCACACCACGCGCAGCCAGCTCCAATACATCCCTGGCACCTGGCAACACGGAAAGCCAACTTAGTGCCTGTGTTTAGGAAGATGCTCTGGTCCGAGAATGCTCCCTCTGGGACATCGTGCATAGGTATTTAAGAAACGAGAAGGAGAAAAATGGCCCGGGACAGACCGGGATCAACCAAAGGGGAGTGAGGACAAGCCTTTTAGGCTGGGGAGAGCACTGATTTTGAGTCGGGGCTCTGAGCAGGCTCTCAGGGTGGACAGAAGGTAATGACACCCGGAGGAGTGTTACCATGGAAACCTGAAGTTGGGGTCGCCTGCTGCATCAGTAGATTACAGGTATCCACTGAACCAGTTTCTGAATCTTTCTGCTATGTGTCTACCCTCAGGTACGTCTTCCACTTGGATCCATCTGCCTCCCTCCCTCCCTCCTCTCCCAGGTCAGCATGCCACCTCACGGGAACAGTCCCATTGCCAACCTCCTGGGAGGCAGCAAGTGGTACCTGGTCAGCAGAGGGCAAGGGGACAGTGGTTGCTTTTTAATCAAATTAAGGAAGAACTGTCTCCTAATCAAATGATGTGCCATGCATGGATAAGAGTGGGGGGCTTGAAAGGCCCTCGGGATAGCTAGTGAAGGAAGGATCCAAACGGAAATTCAGGTTGGTTTGGACACACAAAGGAGGCTGGGGAGGGTCTGGGGACCTGAGCAGCAAGCAAGGGCCCTCATACTGGGGGAGAGAGCAAGTGTGTACTGGAGGAGAGAGCAAGTGCGTCTTTTGTAGATGCTCTAAGAAAGACTGAAGCCGTCCGAGATTCCGACTTTCAGAAATCACGGTTTTCATCTGAGTAGAAATCCGGGAATGTGCTCTGTGTTCACCTGAGCACGTAGGTGAGCGCCAAGCAGGTCTGTGATTTGCATTCATCTCTAAACCTCAGAGATAATCTCACTCACTGCCATCGAGGTAATTCCAACTAGGACAGGGTAGAACTGCCCCCGTGGCTTTCCAAGACTCAGGAAAAGAAAGCCTCACTTTGTTAACCACAAGGTCAGCCGTCCTGGGTGGAACCCGCTGTGTCACCAGGCTTCCCGCCAGTGTGACATGGTACAAGGTGCATGGCTAACAGGAAGCACCTTTTCCGGTACCTGGACCTGGCTTTCCCTTCTTCATCACCTGGTTGAGGCACCGTGGCAACTCACTTCCTTTTATCTGGCCCCTAGAACCAGAGATTAGGTGGGCTCTATCTCTATCTTTTGCTTCCCATTAAGCTATCACTGCTATTTAATTGGCCTGCTCCCCCCACCCCACTATATCCATAGACTTCTGTATCAACATTTGCATTTCTCTCCTTCAGTTCATTCAATTTTTCTTAGACATAATTGAACCCAGCTTTGAATCATCCTGCCTCCAGAGTGTGTGGAAGTTGCAGGGACGCCTCTGCTAACAGTGTGGAGTAGGCTGCCAGTTCAGTTTCACCTTTGAGTCGGTTTTCCCCAGAGAAATCAGCGTCCCCAACCACACCAAACCAGCTGCAGTTGACTCAGAGCACAACCACAACCCCTAGGAGTTTTTCAAAATCATACCAGGTCTCTTTTCCAAGGCACCCCTGGGTGGTCTCAAACCTCCAGCCTTTCCATTAGGAGACAAGGACAGTAACTGTTTGCCATGCCCATAAGTAGCCCACATTGGCTATCCATTTACTGGGTCAATCATGCCACTAACCTGGAACGATGCTGATCATACAGCTGCCCATTGTTTCTATACAGACTTCCACCCCAGCTTCCAGTGGGGAAGTCAGGAACTGGGGAATGACATTTCCTTCGCTTTCGCTTTTGAAGGCAGGGAGTGCTCAGTGAACCCATGACCCTAAGGCAGTGGTTCTCAACCTGTGGGTCGTGACCCCTGGGGGGGGATCAAACGACCCTTTTACAGGGGTCGCCAGATTCATAACAGTAGGAAAATGACAGTGACGAAGTAGCAACGAAAATAATTTTATGGTGGGGGTTCACCACAACATGAGAACCTGTATGAAAGGGTCAAGGCAGTAGGAAGGTTGAGAACCACTGCTCTAAGAAGTCAACGATGGTAAGGAAAAAAAAGAATGAGCCTTTGGTGAAGAAAGTTCATCTCCTCCTTCTGCTTACCTCCCAACACTCCTTTCTCCTCCACCCAAACTCCCTAAGGCGTTCTGGTCAGGGAAGAACTTCGCCCCGCCCCTTCTACTGTACTTCAAGGCTGCCTCTTGGTCTCCAGGCCCAGATAGTTTCCTGTTGTTACAAATGTGTAGGCACAGTTGTTCACTCCCTGGCTGCTCAGAGCATGAAGGAGCTCACTGAGCTAATGAACTCCGAGGCTCTCCTGTCTCCAGTTAGGCCATGGTCCAAAAGGCTCCTTGGAAAGTTCTACTCTGCAAAAGTGTTCATTAGGAAATCGAGGAGTCAACCACATAAATCAGCGAAGACCACCGAGAGAATATTTTGATTTCAAAAAAAGCTTACTCTCCCCACGATGAGCAGTTGGCGAAGTTGAATCTCTCTGATAAACTCCAATCACCGAAGGAGAACGCGACGTTGACAACTAAGACATCTGGCGAGAAGAGCAGGGGGGAAACGTCATTTGTGGTGGATTCCAGCTTGAGTCAAGCACAGCAGTGAATGCAAAAATAAATAAATATTTCCGCCTCCTCCACCGAGGTGGTGGTGGGGGCACACCAGCTGTTCCTGAACATTGCAATCAGTATGTGGTCCCTTCCCCGGGTCATTTGCACCTCGCAGCCAAAGTGCGTAGCACACGATCCACGCAGACCCGAACCAACGTGTCTTCCAAACCTCCCCTGGATAATCACTAGGAAAAAGCCATTTTACAGCCCATTTACATCTCAGGCTCTCTCTGGGATCACTATCTCAGCTTGTAATTGGCCGCCCGCATGAAAATAAAACAAGTCACCGAGCAAAAAGCATCTAGAACAGGATAACTAATATGCTAGGGAGAAATCCTGCACCTCCAGAAAAGTCTGCCCTGCAAATATTGACCTGACAAACGCTAACGTGTGGTTCCCCTGGGCTGGGATCCACAATGGTCTTGGAGTCAGCTCTCGCCAGAGCTGCGATGGATGTTTTCTTTATGGCGTGCTTTGGAAAACCCACCCATCGGCTAGAAAAGCCCCAAAAGAATGAAGTAAAAGGGCTAAAGCTGCCATGTGGGAAGTCGGCATCAGAGAGAGGTCATGTTTCCCGGGTCTCCTTTAACTTCTATACTGTATCCAAGGCACTGAGCTTCCAACTCACTCACCTATCAGAATCATGGGGGGAAAAACGGGAAAAATGCAGATTCTGGGAGTGTGACAGAGGGAGTCGGAGGTAGGAGGCTGGGAAGGAGGTTTGTAAGCTGGCCAGGTAGTGACTGTATCCTCACCAGGTTTGGGGCTACCACAACCGCAAACAGCCCCCTTCTTACCCTAGGCGTCCATTAACCATGCATGTACTCCATGATAAAGTTTTCACGGTCATTCGCCGTTTTTTGTTTTTTTTTACGGTCATTCATCTTGGTGTTCCTCTTTTCTTTCTTTTATGAATGAATGGGGATAACAGGTCTATGCACTGTCATGGACCCACGCATGGCCACCCTATAGAACCGAGGAGAATGGCTGCAGATGGTTTCCACGTCTGTAAATCTGTCTGGGAGCAGACAGTCGCGTCTTTCTCCTTCAGCAGCTGATAGGTTGGCACCACTGACCTTGCAGTTGGCAGCCAAAGGCTTAACCCACGGTGCCACCAGAGCTGCTTGGGAGATTAGGTTGTACTGGAAAAAGTCTCTATTTGATACAATAAGAAGTTGGCTGGATTTTGTTGGCACCCCTCATTTTATTACTATCAATTAATTGGTGGGTGGATCCAAAAGTCTGAGCACCCTTACTTTCAGAGGCTGCTCTAAAAATTCACACTGCAAGCCAGAATGCCACATAAAATTCTGCTTACATAAAGTGGGTAAATGTGAAATGATAATCTTCCGTTCAGAAGACACGGAGGTTTGAAAAGTTTGACATGACCTCTTAGCAAGAGCATTGAAACAGACATTTGATAAATGTCAGGAGAATGAACGTATAGACAGGAAGGACTGAGGTACGCCCCATGGAAATACCTTCCAATGGAATCTACAAGTGTCCGGTGATGAAACTAGCAAGAGCCATACTGCTGAGCATCAACTACACACAAAACAAGATTTGGAAATACCATCAGGAATCCTGCTCTAGAAGCATTTCCTGTTATCCCGGGAGAGATAAAATAACAGATGAAACACGCACACACAGCCACCAATGACATCACAGTTAAGAAAACATCATGAGTGAGCTCAATGAGGTACCCAGATGGGGGATGGGAGGGGAAATCTATGAGGGGCCAAGGAGATGGAACAATTGGGGCCGATTCTGGCAAGACTGTGTGGAAGAGATGACTTGCCCCAATGTTTCATAGCCAAAGGACAACAGGATTTGGTGAAAGGGGGTGGGGTGGTGGACACGGATTTGCCAGTGGCTGTTGGTAGACTCAGTACACGAGGTGGGGAGTGAGTTTGCTTGCCTGTTTGGGATATGCAGGGTATCGAGGGAAAGAGAGGCAAAGAGTTGGGTGCAATCTGTAGTAGTTCTAGAAGCACCTGTGATAGATTGAATTGTGTTGAAACCTTAATCCACCGATGAGTATGACCTTGTTTAAAAATGGGGCTGCTATTTGTTATGCTAATTAGATCAGACCTGAGTGGAGTTGTTTCTAAATCGAATCACATCTGAATTATAAAAGGGCAGAAGGGATGGAAGAGAAACACACACAGAGGAAAGGCAGGGGCCATGGAGGCATGTCTCAGACCTCAAACTCTTAGGTTCTAGAAGGGAGAAAATATATTTCTATTATTTAAAACCCTCACATTTGATATTTCTGTTAGGGCAACAGTAGGTAACTGAGACAGCCACCAACTTGTTTGATAAGGTGATCTCGAATATTTCAGGAGCTACTGGACAAGAGAGCAAGATCTGTATTTTAATGATGAAAATTAACTACATGGTCAGTACAAAGCAAAATGGAAAATGGGGATACGTTTCCATGTCAAGTCCAACTCCTAGGGACACTCCTATAGGTTTCCAAGGCCTTTACAGATGCTGACGGCCCAGCTGTCACCTGGGGAGCAGTCCAAACACCGGCCTTTAGTTAACAGCCTGGTGCTTGCCCGCTGCCCCACCAGAGGGGCTCAGGGATGCTCAGTCCTGTCCACGGCACCTCGTAAACTACTCTCGAATCTTCCCACTTCTCTCCCACCCTCAGCCATACTGCAGCGCTGACAGTCATCCTCCCCAAATCACTTCCAGCGGAACGTTCAGCACTCTTAGCCTCCTCCAACCCAGCAAGCAGGGTTAGTGGCTTGTAAGCGGCTACTGTTCGCCAGGCACTGTCCCAAGCACAGTCATAGGCTATCCTAATAACGTCCCTGTCCGCATAGCATAGCGGTTCTCAACCCGTGGGTCGTGACCCCTTTGGGGGTCGAATGACCCTTTCACAGGGGTCGCCCGATTCATAGCAGTAGCAAAATGACAGTGATGACTTCATCAAAGAAAATAATTTGATGGTTGGGGGTCACCCCACAAGAGGAACTGTATGAAAGGGTAACGGCATGAGGAAGGTTGACAACCACTGGCCTAGCACTTGCATTCTAATAGGAGGGATGAAGAATGTTTACACCATCTCACATTGCACCTGTGCTTGGGCCAACCTCCAGTTTTAAACTTTTCCATGTCTCATCATGGCTCACAGGGCAAAGCCCATGGCTCAAGATGGCCTTTGGTGACCTTCTTTGGGCTCCACTTTTCAATCACTCTTCCCATCTGCCCATACTTCAGGTGCCTGGGTCTTCATCCACTGCTTCTATGGGTTCTTCTAGTGTTTACTACACGGTGTGTTCTCTGTTTGGGATTCTCTTCCCCTTCCTTTTGGCCCGGCTCAACCACACTCATTCTTAAGTTTTGTTTAGACATCACTTCCTTCAGGAAGCTTTCCTCGACCCACCCCAAAAGTCCACCCACCGCTCATCCCGTAGTCTTCTATACCCCCTGCATTTATACACTGCTCTGTAATAGCCTGTTACTTGTCTCTACCCACAATAAACTGTAAGTGGTGGCTCAGCTCAGTGGTTTTTGTCATCCCTTACACCACCAAAGTGCCTGGCATATAGCTGATGTGCACTTGTCATAGACGGTCCCCCACAACAACATGGGTTGACATCCTTAGCCCTTGGTACTTATAAACTTGACTTTGTTTGGAAATAGGGTCTTTGGAGATGTTATCAGTTAATATGAGGTCATGCTGGAGTAGGCTGAGCCTAGTACAGTATAAGGAGGTGAAGAGGCAGAGAGAGAGACACACAGAGAGGAGATGGACACGTGGTGACATGGACAGAGTTTGCACCTGCAAGATAAGGACTGCTGGCCATCACCAGAAGTTAGTTGGGGGAAGAGTGAGATGATAAGGTCTGAGGGTTACTTTTATGTATCAACTTGGCTGGGCTCTGATCTCCAGGTGTTGGGCCAAGCACTAGTCTAGTTGATGTTACGTGCTTGCATTTGTTCATCTCAAATAATGCGAACTACCTTCCATAGAGTGGGCAGGCCTCAGTCAAGCAGTTGAAAACCTGGGGAAGGAGAAGGGCATTTCTCTAGGTTATGTTTTGCCTCGGGACGATAAATAGATATTTTGGCAGAACTTCTTCCCTCTTCTTATCAACTGGCCTATGAATTTTGAACTTGGCAGTCCACCTGGTAATTGCGCAAGCCAGTTCCCTGAAGTACATGAATCTCTCTCTAGATATGGATACGGATACAGAGATAGGTCTCTTACAGGTTCTGTTGCTCAGAGAGCTCTATGACAGGCTGAAACTATCCAGGTCCCCTGTGACTTGACAGGCTTCCTGGGCAATGACCTCAGGAGGTTCTCTTGCTTTCTTCAATTGATAGCAACAACACAACAGAAGCATGCACGTGCCTTTGAAGGGCGCTCTGGTGGGGATGGTACAGTTGCAGGTCTGATTCGCCTGGGCATCGCTCCTGCAGAGCTCCTTCTTGGTGTCAGCATTAGTCACCACACAGGCGGAATGTCGTGGAAAGAAGCTTCCAACCACAGTCACAGTGGTCTGTGCAGAGAAGGAGATACAGAAAACAAATCATTATCTTTTCCATCATTCGCATTCATCACAGAGCCCTTGGTGAACTCACCCTGTGGCCTGCCATCTGAAGGAAAATTTCTCAGAGAGCATATCGCTGATGTAAAGAAATAGCTGTGTTATTAGCAATTTGGTGTGCCTTACTGTGAATTGTGTATTCATATTCTCTGACCATTTTTCTGCTTTGTATGCTTTTCTTATCAATTTTAAGAGCTCTCTACAGAGCATAGATACTAATCCTTATCTGTCATGCGTGCGACATATACTTTCTCCAAATCTATTGGTTGTCTTATAACTTTTGTTTGCGCTATCTTTTACCCTACAATATGTGCTTTTATGGAATCAAATACAGGGTTTCCTGTGTTGGTGAGAAGTTCTACCCAGTAGACAAATAGAAAGCCGTTCTGCCATCCTGGTTGCTTTATTTTTTAAAACACATAAATGTTTCATCCATCTGGAATTAATTTTCATGTATAGATATGGCAATATGGGTCCAAGTCTATTTTTAGCCAGATGGTTAATCAGCTATGTCATAACCACTTACTTTATTTTATTTATTTATTTATTTTTTTACCACTTACTTTAAAAAGAAAAGATAAACCTTTCCCACTGAACTGACTGACCACTTTGTCATATATTAAATACTATATGTCTGGAATCTATTTCTAGACACTGCTCTGTTCCAATTATCTACTGATCTACTTCTATTCCAATGTTGTCAGCTCGTACTACTGCGTGACTTTAAGAATATTTAACAGCTCATAAGGAAAGTCTCTACTTCTGTATTTTTGTTTTCATAATTTTCCTGGCATTTCTTAGACTACCCAGGTGTAGTCTCCCACATAAACTTTAAAATCATTTTATCCATAAGAGAATTGGTGTCTAATCAGAGTGGTACCAAATGAGGTTAAATCTTCCCTTCCAAAGGCAGGATTTAAATTGTTTCCTCTGATCCATGGTTTCTTTTAGAGCATGTACCTTAATTTCCAAGCTGTAACAATACATCTGTCATACCTTTCATTTTTACTTTCATTATTAGATCACTGTTAAAGAAGGTAGTCTGTGAAATCTTCTACTTTAAAAATAAGTTTAGGTGCTTTTTATTTGTGTCTGTGGTTGGTTATTTGGGGTGGGGGTGGGGGGCAGGGACAAAAGAAGAAACCGTTAGCATATGCTCAAAGCAGTCTCTTCCCAAATGAATCATTCTAAAGGGCCAGGCAGTTAGTTCTCCTTATGAAAAGAAAGTGTAAAGAAATTAATAATGTCAATGGTGGACCCCTTGTGCATCAGATACATGAAAAGGGTGAGGTGGGAAGGTGGGCTATGAATTAGGAAGCTAGGCAGAAGCAACAAAGCCCACATGGAAGAAGCACACCAGCCTGTGCGATCACGAGGTGTCGAAGGGATCAGGTATCAGGCATCATCAGAACAAAAAATCTTACCATAGCGAATGAGGGGGGTATTGTGGAGTGGAGACCAAAGCCCATTTGTAGGCCACTGGAGATTCCCTTGCAGAGGGGTCTCGGGGAGGAGATGAGCCAGACAGGGTGCGATGTAGCAATGAGGAGAAATACAACTTTCCTCTAGTTCCTAAATGCTTCCTGCCCCGCCCCACCCCCACCCCCCACTATCATGATCCGAATTCTACCTTGCAAGTCTGGCTAGACCAGAGGGTATACACTGGTACAGATAGGAACTGGAAACACAGAGAATCCAGGGTGGATGATCCCTTCAGGACCAGTGGTGTGAGTGGCGATACTGGGAGGGTAGAGGGAGAGTGGGTTGGAAAGGGGGAACCGATTACAAGGATCTACATGTGACCTCCTCCCTGGGGGGCGGACAACAGAAAAGTGGGTGAAGGGAGATGTTGGACAGGGCAAGACATGACAAAATAATAATTTATAAATTATCAAGGGTTCATGAGAGAGGTGGGAGAGGGGAAGGAGGGGAAAAAACGAGGACCTGATGCCGGGGGCTTAAGTGGAGAGCAGATGTTTTGAGAATGATGAGGGCAATGAATGTACAAATGTGCTTTACACAATTGATGTATGTACGGATTGTGATAAGAGTTGTATGAACCCCTAATAAGACAATTTAAAAAAAATGATGAGCAGATACCAAGGGCTCCAGGAAAGGGGAAAAAAGAGAATTAGGGAGCTAGGATTAGAACCAGAGGCAACCGTAGCATCCACTATGCAGAGCTCAAGTCCCCGATGCCCTGGGGAATTGGATTTCTGTTGTACTCTGGCCTGTGCCCAAACTTCCTATCACTCAACAGTCCACTTTATCCTAGCTCTCTAATCAGCGTGCTACATCTATTCTAGTCCTCGAGGGTCGCCCCCCAATTTTCCGTTTTGTAAACCCAACAACTGGGCCACAGAATCATGCTGGAGAGGAAGGCAGATTCTTTCAGTCCAACGTCAACGGGGCTATAATCCAACCTTGCCAAGGAAGCCTGAGCATGACAATGAACCCCGAGTTTGTCCTACTACTCATCGTCAACACAGATTTGTACTCTCATCTATGTGTACATCTTCATCCTAGCATTTATATCTACGCCACACGTCTTAGTACATAGTTATATCACATACTGTTGTGCATACGAATATATCTGGAATGTTTTCATCGTTCCAACACTGTAACAGAAATACTAGAAATATTTTATAAAATTCCATTTCCACCGCTTTTTAAAACTGTTCACATTTCCTTCCAGTCATCACATACGGAATTTGTATATAACTATAATGATTATATTTACTTATTCCATTAGTATTTATTGAGTTCATAACATTGCCCAAATACCAAACAGGATACTCAATACATAGCCATTCAATTACAGCCCTTGCCTTCAAAGAGGTTAGAGACCAATGGAAGTATGGAAAACTCCACTTAACTAACACTGGAGGGCCACCCAGTACTTCAGAAGGAGATGACGGAAGCCTGGGCCAAGGTGGTAACTGGAATGGAAAGAACTGGACACACTCAACACCTCGCAGAGGTAGCATGACCATGTTTGGAAATGGGGGGTGAAGATATGGAGGAGTTGGGTGAGCAAATATATGGGCGGAGGCACCATCTATTGAAACAAGATATACTGAGGGAAAGGACAGATTTTGGGTGGGAAAGTCAGGATTTTCAATTCTGGATGTGTTAGCTCAAGATACCTGCATGATAATCTAGAGAACATATCAAATTGGATTTGAGCCTGGGTTGGAAATAAGCAGCTATATGGGTATACAGATTATAGATACAAAAGCCATGAGAGTGGATACAATTGTCGATGGACAAATTATAGAGTGAGATGAGAGAAAGAACTCAAACTAGGCCTTCCATAACTCCAAAACTCAAGGAGAGAAGGGAAGATGAGAAATGGCCAAAGAAAAGGAGAGTATGGAGAGGGTACCTCATAGAAGGCACTAGAAAGAAGGGTTTTAAGACTGCTGCCAAATTGGCCAAGGAAGATGAGGATTTTATAGTGTTTACTCCACAGCAAACCATCTCAGGGGAATAGTGGGGTAGAACTCCGGCTAGCGTTGATCTGAAACAAGAGACAACAGGTTTGTCGGCAGCAGGGGGAGGAGAGGGTAGCCGCGGAGTTGTTTGCAAGAGTCTTTCTGTTCCACTTCAGCTTTGTAAATCCACCATGGGAATCCTCACCAAAAAGAGGGCTCTCTTTTGAACTAAGAAAGCAGGATAGAGAGGAAGTGAAATCACAAGGGTCAAATGGGATAGTGGGAAAATTTAGCTGTCAATTAACAAGCAGTGTCCAATGGGCCAAAGAACTTGCTACACAGCATTTCCTTACTTTGACACGCCTTGTTTGGGTTGGCTGTGGTCAAACAGTTTGGTTATTTCCAGGTTTCTAGTGAATTCGGCCACATCAAGGATCATGAAGATGGTGCAGCCAACGTTTTGCTCTCTTATATATAAAGTTGCTATGAGTCAGCGCCAGCTATTAACAATATAATTCTACAAATGTTACTGCAAGAGCATCTTCAAAGTTAGGGTTTTAAAATGCTTTTTTCCAAGTTACTTTCTCAAAATACATTTTTTAAAGCCTAGATTTAGTGCTTTAAGCAGAATGAATATAATTATGACTTTTGAAACATATTACCAAATTACTTCCCCAATAGGTTGTGCTAATTGACATCACCAACGCTAGGCGTTAGTGTAGCTTATTATCGCTTTATTTATTTGATAACTAGGAATTTCAACAAATTTCCATATTTATGTGTGTTACCCAAACCTCCTCTTGTGAGGTTTTGCCTACTTACGGTTTGGTGCCTTGCTGTTTTTCCTTCTAATTTATGCTACTGTATTATCCTGCTTGTCATTAATATTTTATCTGTTTCAAACAGTCTCTTGGAGCGTGTGCTTTAATGATCTCCTCTTTATTGTTTAGATTGTTTAACAAAGTCGATATGAGAATCTTTTTCTTTTGTTATTACATGTACTACTTCAGGTCAAAGAAACTTACCAGGATTCCAAATTATCTGATGTTCATTTTCATTTTGTTAGTTTTTCACTGAGTTAGATGTTCATATGTAATTATTTAATTCACCTAAAGTATATTTTTATCCTTAAGATAAATATGAAATGAATTATGTTTTCATATTGTAAGACAGTTACTGCAATATTTTTATGAGATAATTATTTTGCTTCTTCTTTTACATCTGATATTTTAAATGTTCACAATGACCTCAGCTTTCTGTCTTGTTTCATTTATCTATACCTATTCTTATCTTTGAATAAGAGTCATGGACTGAGATATAGTTGTTTTACATACATATATGTACTTAAATATATGTTCACAGTCAGAGGGGAATAGCCTAGCTTACATAAAATTGGCTTCCCCTCACAATATATTTTGGATATTCTTAAAAAGTTCAGGTTATTCCAGATGATTTTGACATCCATTTAAAGAAATAGCCTTTCAAACTTTTACTTCAGATTACATCAATCGAGAAGAC